GGACTGAGCAAACAGTCTCCAACCGGCCATGAAACCCAGCCTGCCCCGAAGACACCTCCACGCCAGTCCACCGCTGCTGCCAGCCTCTCACCACCGGCTCCCAAGAAGCTCGGCGACAAACTCTCCTGCAGAAGACCCACGCAGGGCTAGCAGCACATCTGTGCCGCCGGCCATGACACCCAGCCCAGAAGGTGCAGAAGAGGAAGTTCACACCTCCGACCAGGAGGCTACAGCCGAAGACCACTTTGAGGCCGATTTCTTCTGAGAAGAGAGCCTGGTGAGGCAAAGACCTGGCGAGGAGCCCTGCCAAACTTTAGAAGAAAGATACATACATACATACGTACATACATACATACATACATACATACATACACACATACATACATAGTCCAGGCCTCCCAGACTGATGCCAGCTGCACAATGACCGTGACCGGTGTTTGGACAAACTGAGCCAGTGTGAGGAGTCCCTGAACAGGGCTCTGGCCTTGGTCTGAGGCCCGTTGGCCATGCCTGTGTGATGGTTGCAGGGCGCCCAACGAGTAGCTGTGGATGCAGAGGGCGTAGATCCACGCCTGAGCTCTCTTGTCGGCTGACGTCGGTGTGGCATCCACGGTGACTGATAGACCCTGCCAAGGTTGCAGTGGTCCAGTCCTTGCCAACAACCATGTCCTTGAAGTTCCAGTGGTTGCTCCAGATGGTCTTGTGGTTCTTTGGGGATCTTTCCATGTGCCCATACGGGTTCGGTCTTGAAGTCGTTCCGTCCATGGGATGGGCAGGGGTGCATGGTTCTGGCCTTGGTGCCAAGCCACAGGATGTGCTTTGGTGTGGCTGGGACGTTGCGCAAGGGACATGTCTTTGGTTTGTCCCCGTGCTTGTAGTGGATGGCTGCTTGGTTCCAGGATCGGATGTGGTTGGCCTGGGCTTGTGTGCCACTGGCCAATCTATCCCGCTGACCAAGTGTTGGCAGTTCTTCTTGTTGGCGAGGCGGTGTCGTCTTTGTTGGGCTTCTTTCATGACCGCAGCTTCTAGTACCCACCATTCCGCTCTCATGTCGATGCGCGCCTCCGTCATATAGGCTGTTTCGTGGCGAGTCCATGAGTAAAGACTGCTTGTGGTCCATCCCCATTCATGCAGGTATGCCAGTGTTGCCGCCAATGGGCCCTTCATGTGGCACCATGGATAGGTTTGCCTCCTGAGCTGATTGCGGAGTTCCAGCCAAGCTTGCTCGATGTGTTGGAGGTGGTCAGGAGGCCAGTGCGCCAGGAGTGTATGCAGGGCGTGGATGTGCTGAAGTACCACTTGGTCACCTGGGTCCACGTACTTGTGGCTGTGTTGATCGTATACAACATCAGCTTTGCCGCCACTATGGAGCCCATGCCCCATAGTGCCACCGGTTGGATTGCTTTTTTGTGTAGTTTGAGTTTTGTTTTGAGGTTTGGCAGCTTGAGGGTCCTGAGACGTATTCGTCTCTGTCGATTCTTCTTGAACCGTTGTTGTAGGGTGACAATGCGTCGTTTGCGTCCTGCTTGATGGTCGATACCGAGATCTCTCATTACTCGGTGGGTCATCCGGGCCAAGTAACTTGGGGAGGGCCTTGTGTGTGGTCTTGTCCGTCACGATGAAGGCAGTTTTTTGGTTATTGACCTTCAGGCCTGCTGCTTGAGGACTCATGCTGAGTTCTTTCCAGGCTGTGGTGACTCTGGTGGCCAGGGCTTGTGCATCTGTGCGACTGCCATCGAAGCCGATGTCATCAACCCAGCCATTCAAGTGGAGGTCTTGGTATTTGGCCTGGAATGGTCCAAGGATAGGTTCCAAAAAGGTCTTTGCAAGCAAGGGGGCTTGCGGGCATCCCGCTGCCATGCCAGTGGTCACATGAAACCATGAGCTGAGTTCAGCGTCGGCCATGACGGCCTTGGGTCCTGTGTAGTCCTCCATGGCAAACCCCAGAGCCAATGGTGGATACTGGAGATCATGTGCTGCCTGTTGAAGCTTGGTCAGGTCGATGGTGTCGTAAAAGGTGCTCATGTCCAGTAGCACTGTGATGCCATCCCTCGAAAGTGTCTTGTTGCTTCGTTGGCGTATGAGGCGTTCTCAGGCGACGTGGAGAGCAGTGGCTCCTGGTTGGGCACGGTCGTAGTCCATGTGGCTGGCGAGCTGGGTCTGCCACTGGTCGAGGATGTCCTTGCCAAGTTTGCGCAGTACACTTGTGAGTGTAATCGGTCTCTCGACCTTTTCATTTTTGGCCAGCAGCGTGACCACCAAACTCATTTGGAGCTGTGTCGGGAGTGTAGCTGCGGCTAAGATCTTCAGGAGGGCCGGCAGTGCCTGGGTGGCGCCGCGCGTAACAGTTGTGTGGAGATGGCGTCAGGTCCACAGGCTCGGATGTATGTATGTATGCATGTATGTATGTATGTATGTATGTGTCTTTCTAAATTTATGTATGTATGTATGTGATGTATTTTTGTGTTGTGTCTTGTAAAGTTATGTCGTGTTTTGCAATGTACAGCAGTAATGTGCAGCAATGGCATGCAGAAGCACGAATTGATCGAATTTGTCGTGCTCAAGACTTCATGCCCACGTCTTTTTCGGTAGCGCCGTTCCTCGAGTTCTTCCGACAGGGCGTCGCAACTAATTGGTGGGGTCTTGCCTGTCCATCTCACGGCGGCCCTGCGGCCGCTCCCTCATTGGTCCTTTCCTTCCTGGCTGGCCTTGGCTTTGGCATTGTTTTTGGGATCATCCTGATGATTTTTGGCATCTCCCTTCAGGTACCGTCAGGTGCCTCCATCCTCGCGGCCTTCTTCATCTTGCTGATGGTGGGTGTGGATCAAGCCAATCTGGGGCTGCATATCGAATGATTCTGCTAGAAGAACCGCCTTCACCGCCCTGGAACTACAGGAATCAGGGCTTCGATCCAAGGGCGAAGAGCTTCTCAGCTTTGGCTCCCCAACAATGGACCACGGTTGCCTTGGCGTATTCCAAAGAGATAGATTATATACAGTCCAAGAAGTTGGAGGTCACGCATCCAAAAGCAGGAGGCCAGACCAATCAGCATATGGCAGCACAGAGAGTTAGACCTCATTGCTCCGGCCCTCAGGGGTGACAGCAATTCCCTAGCCAGTACCTCCTTTCGTGTTCCCTTGCTGAGTTCTTCTTCCTCAGAGCGGCCTACCGCTTCTTTCAGTCGGGGATCCCAAAGGAGGGGAAGGGAGGATGAGGAGCATGAGACGGACGAATGTTGAGGAGCATGCCTTGGTTCAGACAGAGTATGAACTTTTGGACAGCAAAGAGATGGCTGCCCCTGTCCGAATGATGGGGATGTGGTCAAGGGTATGAGGAAATTCAGTGCAGGTGACATGGAGCAGACTTTGGGCACTTCCAGCATGGAGCCAGTTCCATTTCCTAGCTGGGTGCATCAGTTTCTCCGTCAAGTGCTTGGAGCGAGGACGAAGTTTTCCTTCTTCATCATGCAAACCATATCAGCCAGCCGCAGTGGTCGTGATGACATCCCTGCTACCGCCTTGTTCCCTATCCCTTTCCCATGGGAAGGCTTTTGAGATAGGCCCGGATGTTGGCGGTCAGAAGAAGCGTAGGGGCAGAGCAATCATGAAACTGATCCATTTGACGGTCATGGCCATGAAGTTTGAGCACCTTTGCAATGGAGTCCTTCCCGCAAGTTCTGCAGATGAGCACGCGGTTTTCGGATTGCCGTTTTCCGGAAAAGACGTGGAACATTTTGTTCAAGCCGCAAGGAGCCGGTGTTGACAAAGACAGGTGCAGTTGGGTGAAGTGGGTTAGTGGTCAAAAAGGCACTCCTACCAGCGCACAGAGCAAATATGCTGGTTGAAAACAGAAGTGACTCGAGTGTTCCTGGAATGCAGGAGCGCACAGAGCAAATACGCTGGTTGAAAACAGGAGTGACCCGAGTGTTCCTGTATAATGTTTGGAAATGTTTTGTTGTGGCAGGTTTTTTGTGCGCAGTGCGTAATGTTTGCATTCATGTATGTATATATTCATATTTGTAATGTAATGTAATGGAATGTAACGTAACGTAACGTAATGAATGTATGTATGTATGTATGTTTGTTTGTTTGTTTGCAGGTTTCTGTGAACGTATGTAGAGCATCATGGCAATGGCTGCCTTGGTCTTTGGTCTTTGGCCAATGGCACTGGATGTTGACCTAAGCTGGCCGCAGATGCAACACATTTTTCATCTAATTGGCAAATTGGCAGATTGGCAGACGGCACTAAGCAATGTCCAATACACTTGATGGTCGTGCAAAAACTTCTTCTCTGACTTCACGTTCGTCCAACTAACGAGCAGGCACCGTTGCAGGATCATTTTGAGTACTGTAGGTCATTGGGTTGGTTTTGTGATCCCCACCGAATATTTTGCATTTGTTACCACAGCTGGATGGCAACCACAATAATACGTTTTGATGGATTTGTCAGCCCAATTTAGCACGGTGCACTCAGCACAGCACGGCGCAGCAATCCCAACCCCAAACCCATTACCATGGAACATCCTCGGTTCAAGCAGCGAGATCGAAGATGTGGACAAGTCAAAGCAATGTAAAACAGACAATCAGCTGATTGAACGCGACAAAGGCAACAGTCGACTAAATGGTTATGAGTTTTTTTGACCTATATAGTTGTAGAAACTACGATGACACTAGACCCTGAATCGAAACATGAATAAGATGCGTATGCCCTCCTTGCTTGAAGTGGCTTTGTGGGTTCACACGTGGGAACTGCTTCAAAACCTCAAAGGACTACTTTGAGCCCACACTTGGTTTTTGGTGGAGCTGTCCAAACGCATACTTTTGCACAACGACATGTCCAACATAAGTGCAATGATGTCTACTGGCGAAACAGGTGTTATCTCCTTTGGCTCGAGTGTTTCGTTGACGAGTTCTGCAATCTTGAAAAAACTGATGGTTTGTCGTTGAGATTGAGATGCCATACGCATCACGTATATCATTGTTCAAATTCCACGCCCTGAGGAACGACTTGTGTCTCTCACGCCCATCCTGCTTCAGGGCAAACCTCCGACAGTTGGCCCATTGGCAGAAACAAAGGACGGTGCCAGGGGAGAAAGCAAGGACGTGAACCAGGACGGGCTGCAGAATCAGCGAGAGGAAGTGAAGCAAGAGCTTGCAGTTTCAGTAGACCCAGTAGACCCACCACATCCACATCACATGGAGCAGTAGAGCCTCCTGTGTGTACAGATAGCCAGGCATTTGGGGATATCAGCGAAGCTGTGACCAGTTTGCCTGCCTTTGCTGAGAATGGAGTCCCAAAGGTGGATTGTGAAAAGATACAATAGTGAGGCTGCTTTGATGCAAGTGATTGTCAGAGCTCAGCCACTTCCCCAGCCTCGCCCTGGGCAGTTTTGCGGCTCACGTGTAGGAAGGGTGAATCCATCAGCAAGACTCCTGGTGATACAGTATCTAACAAAGCACACCAAGCCAAGATATAATACTGTAAATAAATGAATATATATATATATAGTTTTCCGAGAGCGATGCCGGATGTGTTGGCGGCACTTGCGCTGGCAAAGGTGTCTCCAGTGCGGGTTCCAAGACACCGGATAAAGGCTGTGAGGCTGTGATGAGGGGGTGTGTTTGCTCAAAGCAGGGTGCTGAGTTGTTGTATCCGCCGCTGGGGCAGGAAGTTGGGGTGACAGACGTGACACGACGAAATGGAATATATAGCTTTCAGAGTTCAGTGTTTTGCATATTTAAGCTGTCAATGGATCATCCCACCCTCATTCCAGCTCGCTGCCCAGATGGCGCCTGTGGCAGCTGATGCCATCAGCAAGGCAGTGGATGCCCGGCGACATTAGATAGTGTTCTCGTTGCGAAGCTTGTCAAGTGTTGTGATTGGAACTATTCTGACCCAGCAGGTGTGGGAAACCATTCCAAAGCTGCAGAAGTTAAGTTGCTTTTCCCATCCTGTTTCCACACATGCGGGTTATTTCCGTGGAATCGGTGAAGAAGAAGAGGAAGAAGAAGAAGAAAACTTCGCAGCTCTTGGGTAGTAGGGGCAAGAATGATGGGGGGAGGACATGGAAAATAGACGTGAACGACAAGGAAAGTCATTCTGATTTCCACACCTGCACAACGGGCAAGCGTGTTTTGTGCATTTTTTAAAACCTTTTCTAGCTTTTCTTGTTCCTTTTCTTATGTCCCTTGCCCTGTACTGACTCCAGCAGAACAGATAAGACAGTGAGGGCCAGAATCATAGGGAGAAATGGAGGCGATGAGAATGACAGGGGTGAGAAACGAAGGAGTAGGGGTCAGAATGATAGGGGTGCACCAAATTCTGAGACTCATAGCCTTCTAGCCAATGGATTGCCGTTGATGTTCAGCTGTGCTTTCTATGGGCCCTATATGTAGTTGTTCAAAACTTAGGGGGTGCTTCCCTGCAGCAATTCCGAGATTGTCTCGGCAGCAGCAGCAGCAGCAGCAGCAGCAGGGCAAGGCAAGGCAAGGCAAGGCAAGGCAAGGCAAGGCAAGGCAAGGCAAGGCGAGGCAAGGCAAGGCAAGGCAAGGCAAGGCAAGGCAAGGCAAGGCAAGACAAGGCAAGGCAAGGCAAGGCAAGGCAAGGCAAGGCAAGGCAAGGCAAGGCAAGGCAAGGCAAGGCAAGGCAAGGCAAGGCAAGGCAAGGCAAGGCAAGGCAAGGCT